TCTTGTCATTAAATGTGTTTAAAAGGGATGAATGAGACTTTTGCAGTAAAATCATTTTTGCAGTAAAGGGATGATGAATACTTTCTCCTAGTTGGTTTCAAAACATACCAAGTCAAAGTGAAGGAAAAGGAAGTAGAAATTAAGAAGTTGAAACATAAATTCTGGAAAGAGGAGTTTTAGCTCATGGTTTTGGTGCAATTTTTTTCAGTCTTATAATTTCTTAAATCTCCTCTCTTGTTTGAATGAAACCACCACAGATAGAAACTAGATAGTTTCTGGCTTATGCTTATTCAATACTTCATATTGGATGACACCTTGAATGAAATTTACTATTAATGTTTTCATATAAGAGTTAAAGATGTGGAAATGATTTTTAATGATTTAGTACTTGAGTTATGACATGTTAATTCAATTGAAACTCAACAACCACCATAGTAGGATATCAATTTTTTGTGTTTATGTTAGGGAGGCTGATTTTTTTATTGTAATCTTTGTAATTTTGACAAGTTTATGGCATGGTTACCTTTGTATAAATGTTATAATGTGTGGTAGAAATTTTGGAATGATTGTACATGCTTAAGGGTGCGAAAAGCCTTATGAAATTCAACTAGGCTGCAACTAAACAACAAAATCTGAAACTGATTGCCTTCCTTTTTTTTTTTTAATTATTATTTGAAGTCTTCCAACCCAACCAACACGACCCAACCCAACCCACATTTGGTTGGGTTGGGTTGGATTAGGATTTTTTCGTGGGTTGGGTTGGGTTGAATTTCGATCAAACCGATCATGTTGGGTTGGGACAAAAATCGACCCAACCTAACCCACGCCCACCCCTAATTCGGAGGAGAAAATATATGGAGGGCGACGCAGAAAGAGGTTTGGAATGTCAGTTGGCTATGGATGGGAGGGAGAGTGACAGCAATTGTTCGAACAAGGCCGTGGTTATCCCCTCTTGTTGTGTGAAAGCTAAGGCATCAGACACTGAGCTCGAAGCTAGGTGCCATTCCACAGTTGTTTCGGGATGGTTCTCTGAACTTCCGTCATCCTCTGGTATTAGCACATATTTCTTTTTCTTCTTCTCTTTTTATTTGTAGAACTCCTTTTCTCTATGTTCTATCCTACTGTCTATCTTTTGGTCATTTTGCTGACTTTTTTTCCTGCAGATAAATCTCTGAAAGAATTCTATTTCAACAACCCAATGTGGCCAGGTATCATTGCCTTTATTCTCACTTACCATTCGGTCTATGAATGAGTTGTTATACTTAAAAATATGGTCTTCCATTGGTTTATCCAATGCACACGTTTAACTTTTTTATCTAAACTGTCTTTAATATATTGGCACAATCAACCTTTTCTTTTCCTGCTTATCTCCATTTGACTAAAACCTTTCTTAAGGATAAAACGTGTTCTGCTTGTTCAGAAGTAGTGATTGACAATTTGACTTTAGTGGATATTAATTAGATTTTGAGAAATATTAATCACGCAAACTCATGAAGGAATTGGATGCTTACCTCTAGAAATACGAGGGAATGATTCCAGTGGAAATATTAAACTGTAAATCTTAATACTGTGTGTTATTCAGATGCCATAATTCTTGTATAATGATTGGGAATGAGTTATGATGAGGAATAAGATGTGTTCATAATTTCTTGAGAACTTGAGGTTAGGCCTTGATTAGGAAGAAGGAATGTCTGTCATGCTCCTTCGTAAACCTTGAGAATTTATGTTCTTGTTTATACTTGTTACTTCGCATCTATATTTAGTTAACCCCGGTGTCCCTACTTATAGGAGAAGCACACTCCTTGAAAGTAGAAAAGATTCTGTTTAAGGAAAAGTTAGTACCAGGAGCGAAGAATATCTACTCGCACGATTTTTCTCTCTAAAATTTTGTAGAAAGTTTCGCAAGCAAATTTATGTATTTATCGTTTCGTATCTGTATCTATATATAATTGGTGGAAGAATCGGAAACCTATAAAGGTGTTGTTATCAATTTCAATTTTCCAAGGCAAAAGATGAGCCGTCCCTGAGAAGAAAAAGGTGTTAATTGACCAAACCGAACCCTAATTTTGTTTTTGATTTCTTTATTACGAAGCCGGCACGAGCTGATTTCATGGAGTCCCCTACGCCCATTTCTCAATATATCCCCCAGAATTCCAAGTAGTATTTTTTTTCAGCATGTGATTTTCTATATGTATTTGTATGAAGTGTTTATATGTGGTGGATTTTTTATGGGTGCAGGAAAAGGGTATTTCTGGGTGGGAGTTCTAGCGGGTGTCAAGAAGTGGATGTGGTCGAAATTCCGACGCCGATTAATCTGTCTTCCAAAGCCAAATTATTGAAGCAAAAAGAGGTGATTGAATTTTTTTTAATCTTTATTTTTTTGTATGTTTTTTGATGAAACCTTCTGTCCTTTGTACACTGAATTTTGGTAGCAAGTGGTTATAGGTTTTCTTATATTTTTCCTTTTAGGAGTGGGTATAGATTTTCTTCTATTTTACCTATTTAGGTATTGGATTGTTGTTCTTTCTTTGAGGATTTTTTCCTTGAATCCTGGAGTTTTTGTGATTAAAATCAGAATTACATTGAGCAGAATAGAATTGGGCCTTTGAAATACAATGAATAGTTTTTTTTACTTCCTTTAAATTTTGTTTTTTTCTCAAGACATTCCAAGCATTTTTTTAGTACAATTGTCCCATTAAAATTATAATTTATTTTTTCATCTCTTCTTATAAATCATACATTTTTCAATAAAATAATATTAAACGTAATTCCAATTTTTTTTTGCTTTTTTAACGTCGCATTATTCCAACTAAGAAAATAATGTACAATTTCAAATAAGGTCATTAGTACTATACAATTTATCTTATTAAATATCTAATACGTGGAACTAATTACGAATTCTTAGTATCATTCTTGTATACGAATCAATGAGCTTGACGAAAAGGCCCTATTAAGAAGCTCGACTCTTTCTATGGATTGAACAAGCAAATGGTATTGAAGATTTAAAAATAGTAGACGAATGTGTTAAATTGAATAATACCAATAAATAATAAAATTAAAAACAACTTAATTCAATATTGTAGCATATGTACAAAATTCTTTTGAAGATAAGAACAAGTGACCAATCCAAATTGACGCGAGCAATA